ACAGTCAGCCTGACTCTCAGTGGGAGACATGCTGTTGCCAAGTCTTCCAGCTGCACCAAGCCCCAGCTGCCTACAGTGGAAAGAGGTTCAACGAGGCCCTTTGTGATCTGTGTCATCTCCAAACTCCTCTCAGGAAGGCCACCTACCGCACTTGCTTCTGCCCACTCCCTTGCCTGAGCTGTCTCCTGGGGTCACCGAGGTATCCAGCACAGCTGGTGAAGCCCGGCTGGTGGAAAGGCTTGAACGAAACGATGAAGGCCAAGTTCTTCCCCGCTCCCTCCACCCTTGCCTCCTGGGCCACTTACAAGGCACAGGGCTCTAGCCTGAAGTCTCCCTCAGCTCAAGCTTTCATTCCCAGCTGCTTGTCTTACAGGCCTCAGACTCAAGCTAAGAAAGCACACAGTGATGGGTTTGGGGCTTTGGCCACTACAGAAAACAATAACGAAAGAACAACAGCAATAATAATAATAATAAAGAACACACACACACAAGGCCCTACCACATAAAAGGCAAACTAAAAAAAAAACTCCCAATCTAGACAATAGAGATTTATCAAATGCAACCATCAGTGATGTCACTAACTTTCTTTCTTTCTCTCTTTTTTTGTTTTTGTTTTTGGAGACAGTGTTTCTTTGCGTAACAGCCCTGACTGTCCTGGAACTTGCTCTGTAGACCAGGCTGACTTGAACTCACTGAGATCCAACTGCCTCTGCCTCCCAAGTACTGGGATCAAAGGCATGGACCACCACCCCAGGCGATGCCATTAATTTCTAGAAAATGGCAGGTGAAGAGCCGAGGTGTAGCATTAATAGGAAAAGAAATCAGATTGCAAAACACATTACATTTGAGTCGCACCAGTGGAGGCGCCAGTGTCAAGGGAGAGCCTCTTAAACATGCTCGGCTTTCATATTATTTTGATTTAAAAAAAAAAAAACCTGCTCTGTCACCTTGAGAGTGTTTTACTTGAAAAATAGTCATTCTTCTGAAAGCATTTTTAGAGACAAGGAAGTGGATTTGGAAGAGCTGCTAAAAACTCTTTGTCATTTTGAATATCTTATGGAATTTTCATGTCTTGGGGAAGCATTTGCCTCTTTTTTAATGTTAAAAAACCTAACTTGAAGTTATACATGTATGTATGTAATTTTCTGTCACAATCCCACCAGACCTTATTTCTATGTTTATTGATTCGATTTTTATCTTGCGGGTAATTTTTTTTTTTTTTGGAGACAGGATCTCATGGCCTTGAACTCCTGATCTCCTGCCTCTACCTCCCCAGTGCTGGAATTAGAGGCCCTGATCACTGGTTAATTTATGTGGTCCCAAGATCAAACTCAGGACCTTGTGCAGTTAGGCAAGCACTCTGCTGACAGGGCTGCATCCCCAGCCCCAGATCAACAACTTTTTAAATGGCAAAAACATACTCGTTTAGCTGGAGAGCTGGCTCAGCAATTAAGAGCACGTGTTGATCTTACAAATGACCCAAGTGTGATTCCCAGGACCCACAAGGTAGCTTGCAACCCCCCACACACACACACAGAGAGAGAGAGAGAGAGAGAGAGAGAGAGAGAGAGAGAGAGAGAGAGAGAGAGAGAGAGAGAGAGCGCCACCCTGGAGCAGAGTCCAGTCAGTGACTTCCTCTTCTCTAGAGGCTTCATCCTTTCCTATTTGCTTCCAGATGCTTCCTGCTCCCCACTGAACTCTGCGTTCATCCATCTTGGTGTCCCTGTGTCCTTTTGCCAGTGTCCTTATCCTAGCAGTCCTCCCAGGGGCATTCTAAGACGAGGAAGAATGTGAAGAAACATGGTCGAAACATCCTGAGGTCAGCTTGCACTCCTTAAAAAGGTGTGGTGCTATCGTGTTTGTACTACAACAAATAAAGCTTGCCTGAAGATCAGAGGGCGGAGCTAGCCACTAGTTAGCCATAGAGGTCTGGAGGTCTGTACAGATAGACAGGAAGTGGCGTGACTGGGAAGAGAGAGGAATGTAAGGCAGGAGGAGACAGGAGCTCCGGCTGAGGAGTTAGCAAGGTAAGACTTGGCTGTGGCTTGCTCTTTTCTCTCTGATCTTTTAGCATTTGCCCTCATATCTGGCTGCATGTTTTTATTATTAAGACCAATTAGAACTCGTGTTACATAAAGGCCTTACGAAATTTTTCTCAGCCAGACAGTGGTGGCACAGGCCTTCAGTCCCAGCACTGGGATTGGGGGAGGGGGGTGAGGGGAGGCAGAAGCAGGTGGATCTCTGTGACTTCGAGGCCAGCGTGGTCTACAGAGAGAGTTCCAGGACAGCTTCCAAAACTACAGAGAAACCCTGCCTCAAAAAAAATTAAAAAAAGAAGAAAAAGAAAAAAGAATTTTTCTTTACAGAAGACTTAAGTTAAGGAAAACCATATCCTGTCATATTTTCCTCAGCCCCACATGACTGGCATAAGGAGCTGCTCTTAGTAAAGCTATGGGTAATCCTAACTCCTTCTGGAAATAAACTGACCTCTGGATGCTGTGTCCCTCCGTGGGGAGTCAGGGAACAATGGGGTCTTTAACATCCCCCAAACTTATGATAGGACTTAGCTGACTGCTGATTCTGTGGGACTCTGCACTGAATAAAATATCCCAAGGCAAGATAATGGCCAGCCGCAGCAACCTGGGGAAAAGGGGTGCTCACATCCTGCTCCGAGCCCTTGGAGGGAAGGAGCCAGGCTGGGCTGGTCTAGAGCTGTTCTCCCTAGGTGTCCCCTTTCCCACTGTGCCTGGGCTCAGAGTGACCGGAGGAGAAGGAACGGGTGGCGCTAACCCTCCTGGGTCAGACACTGAGTATGGGAATCTTACTGAGCAATGAGCTCCCTTTTATTCCCATTTTCCCGTGATCATGTTTTCTCTTATTGGTATAAAGATCTCAGCATATATTCTCTGTATTTATTCTAACTATGTAAATAAGGGCGTTCTGAGCTGTAAAGTTCTAAAACATGAAGTGTGGAATTTAAAGATAAATAGAAAATAGAGCACTTTGCCCAGCACAGCCGGAGACATAGCCGTGCTTCCCAGGGGCTCTCGGTCAATCAGGAGTGCTCTCCTGGGGGCCTGTGGTTTTGCAATTTGAGTGAGTAGCTTCATGCTGACAGCCCCCGTCCCAGCCCTGAACGCATGCACGCACACACGCACGCACGCATGCACGCAGGCAGGCAGGCAGGCACGCACGCACGCATGCACGCAGGCAGGCAGGCAGGCAGGCAGGCACGCACGCACGCAGGCAGGCAGGCAGGCAGGCAGGCAGGCAGGCAGGCAGGCAGGCAGGCAGGCACGCAGGCACGCAGGCACTGCTTGCCAACATTGCCAAAGGTACAGCAAAGGCCCAAGATTGAAAAAGCATAGAAAATGCCGATCAACTGAACCTGGGGAGAATGTCTCCAAAGAGAATCCTAGACTAAGTGGGCAAAGTGGTGACACCATGTGTTACCTGGGCCACAGGCGTCCCTGTCCCCCCCTCCCCCCCAAAAAAAACCCTTGGCAAACCTCAGCAGTTGGCATGCTGGGCTTTTCCAGAGCTGCTGTAGAATTAGGCTGTCTCCGAGCCTTAGAAGGCTGCTGGGGTTCGGTACTTGGGGAAGGAGATTTTGGGGGAGTTGTTTGTGATGCACTCTGAAGAATGTCATTTCCTACTCTCAGACCGCAGTTCCCAGAAAGCAGGCGGGCAGAGGTCAAGGGCAGGCAGGAGAGGAGACGGCCGGGTGTTTCAGAGGCCTGCGGTCAGTGCTTTGATGATAAGAGGGAAGGTATGCTCACATCATTTCCCGAGGCTTCCTCCTCCGCTCCTCCATCAGAGAGCCAGAGTCTGGAGCAGGGGAAAACTCACGTTAGGATGAGAGGCCCCTCCCCTCCCTTCCCTCACGCGTGATTTATAGGTTTGTGCAGCGAGGCTCAAGTTTGTCTAGAAAAGCTTCTGCTCTGTTCCCACTGCTGTCAGTGACCGTTTGGTCATGTGACCAGGCCAGCCCCGTGCTCTGCTCTTGATTATTGAGAAGCTGGACTGGGAGACCCAGACATCTGCCTGGGAGTCTCTCTGTGCAGAGACAAGTGGGACCAGGAAGTGACAGGGACAGTTAAGACCCTAAGGAGTGAGTGAGTGGTGCTCCCAATGCCCCACACCAGGCAGCCCACAGGGTCAGTCTGTCTCATTCCCAACAGAAAAGTCAACACCCTGCGTAAGTACACATGCTCACACCTCTCTCTCTCTCTCTCTCTCTCTCTCTCTCTCTCTCTCTCTCTCTCTCTCTCTCTCTACACACACACACACACACACATCTTTTATTTTTATTTGGGGGGGGAGCTGAGACAGGGTTTCTCTGTGTAGCCCTGACAGTCTCGGAGCTCACTCTGTAGACCAGGCTATCCTGGACTCATTTGAGATCCACCTGCTCCTTCTGCCTCCCAAGTTCTGGGATTAAAGGCATATACCACCATCAACCTGGCTTAATTTCTGAAGTTTAAAGAGCTTCACAAAATTAAGATATTGCCTGGTACAGTAGCTCACCCCTGTAAGCCAGCACTTGGGAAACAGGGGCAGGACCATTGCTGAGAATTCAAGATGAGTTAGGGCTATGTAGAAGACTCTAGACTAGCCTAAGCAACACCAAGGCCCTATCTAAGCCCTCCCCCCCCCTGCATTGAGGTAAATTACAAAATCAGAAAAATGCCTGAAATAGGCATAACATGGAGCTAAAACACACAACATACAAAGAGCTTTTAAAAATAAGGAAGGCGGACTGGAGAGGTAGCTCAGCGGCAAAGAGCGATTGCTAGTCTCACAGAGGACCCAGGTCCAATTCCCAGCACCCTCATGGCAGCTCATACCCATCTATAGTGACAGTTCTAGGGGATCCAGTGCCCTCTTCTGGCCTCTGTGGTGCACATACATGGTGCACTTAACATACCTGCAGGCAAAACACCCATAAATACAAAATAAAAACAAGTAAACCTTTAAAATAAGTTTTAAAGACAGAAATATGTGATGATATATCATTTATGATTTATTAAAGTTTTCCTGAGGATTCAGGAAGCAAAGTCAGCCAAAAGCCATAGAAGGCAGGCACACACCTTTAATCCCAGGACTCAGAATTAAGAGGTAGACGGATCTCTGTTAGTTCAAGGCCACACTGAGCTACATGAAGTTGATCCAGTCCTAAAGAGAAGCAGCTCACACACAGGTGATCTCAGCAATTCAGGATCACACGCCTTTAATCCCAGGACTCACGAAAGATATTTAAGACAGGAACAGGGTCTCAGAGCTGGCATCCATTCTCCAGCCACATTGAGGACAGGAAGAATTGATTCTCCAGCCACGGTAAGGAGAGGCAGCAGTCAGAGGCTTGGTGAGAGCTCATAGAGACAGGATCAGCCATTTCAGCCTGGGGTAGAGGTAAGAGCTGGTGGCCGGCTGCTTTGCTTTTGTGATCTTCAGCTTGAAGCTTGAACCCCAGTATCTGTCTCTAGGTTCTTATTTTTCATGTTACACCTGCACTCAGGGCATTACTGTATAAACTGAGCGTTTGGACACCAGATGTATGAACCGGAGGTCTGACTGCTCCAAGGTATGGCCGAGGGGAAGGGTTTTGTTTTGTTTTGTTTTGGTTTGGTTTGGTTTGGTTTGGTTTGTAGATACAAGGGAGACTACAGCCAGAGATATCTGGAAAAGTCCTGAACAGAGAGAGAAAGTAGTGGATCGAACATGGCCAGCAGGCTGGAGCGGGCCTTGGGAAGGGCGATGGCGATGGGGTGAGAGGAGGAGAGGAGAGGACCCAGAGAGAAGAGACTGAGAGGGGAACCGAAAGAGAGAGTGTTACCTGAAGTGGCTGGGTTATGTGGGAAGGCGAAGCTGGGAGAAGGGAAGCCACTCGGCTGGAGAAGCTCAGGGTGGGGGCGGAGTGGGAAGAGCTGTGCGGAGCCACAGGTAGACGTGAGACGAGAGATCGCAGGAGGCCAGCGTGCGCCAGCGTGTGCTAACAGGCACCACAGTCTGTCCTTCTGCACCTGACAGTCGCGCACCAGCCCATCTCTGTGGCCCCGGGCTTGCGTCCCTCGGCTTCCCTCTTGACTCTGGCCAGTGCCCCCCCTCTTCTCGTGCTATCGTTTTAGTGCCCTCAACTGAAAACGAGCCCCGAGTTAGCAAGCGTGCACTGTTAGGCTAGCCTCGCCAGGTGTGTTTGCCTATTTATGCCACCCAAAGGTGGGCAGTATCCCAGCGGGAGTCCCCGAGGAAACTCGGGGTGTCCCTTTGCGTCTCAACCCTTTAACACCTGGGTGGATCAACCTGGCTGAGTCTCAGGGCTCATCTGTAAAATACGTCTCAATAGTCAGCCCATTGCACTCGTAGTTACTGGCCGCCTGCTACAGGCCGGGCCTCTTTCTAGGTGCTGGGTGTATGATGGCGTACAAGGCGGACAGCAACCCTCCTCATTGTGTAAGTGGAGGAAAGGGGTGACAAAATACACGCACGGGAGTTAATGCCTGACTGTGCCATCTGCTGAGCGGTGTGAGTACAGCCAAAGTGACAAAACTTGGTGGGTCACCCATCTCCCGGGGTTGTCAGGCCTGCAAATTCGTCACTTGAAGGTGTTGTAAAGGGGTAAGATATGACATAAGATTCGTTAATTTTTAATGAACGGGAAGCTAAGCAAATGTTTGTATTGCCAGCTGCTCAAAGGGGAGAGGGGCGCATTGAGGAGAGGAGGGTGTTCGGTGGCATGAGCTTGAGAAACAACGCCCTCAGTTGATAAAATCCCTTCAGCCTGTCTGACTCCCCAGGGACAGCCACGGAGGTGGAAGGGGCAAGCTTTGGCTTTTGTCTTTCATGGGAGCTAGCTAGCCCTGCTCCGACGAGGAAGAAAGCCTCTTGATTGACACCCTGCAGTGTCCTTGTATGGACAGCCCTTCAGTGGCCCAGAGTGCCCTACCATCCACTGGAAGAGAGCACTGGCCCCTCCGGGTGAAGCAAATCTGGCCCGAGGGCACATCTGCACATCTTGGCTCGGGTGTTTTACCAGCCAGACCTGGATAATCTTGGCATATTGGATGAAGCTGGTACCGTTTCCTGCACGGCTGGCAGCTGGAGCCACTGGCGGGCACGCAGGTCACTAAGGGCACTTGCGAACTAGCTGCTCGCCCACCCCCAGGACCTCAGAAGCCACCGTGCTTTCTGATCCAGACTCTGATACTCATTATGGTCTTGCCTGACAAAAGGGTCCTTGCTGTCACCCTTCCAGGGCTCCTGGGTCCCCTGCAGGTCTCTCCCCATGAGGAGCATGGGTATTCCTGCCGATTTTTTTTCTGTCAGGCAAGTGCTAACATTTACGAAGGGGCATCACTGCAGTTTCAAATGTGTTGTCTTATGTGTGGTCGGTTACCTCCACCATGAAGTCAGCGTTTCCGTTCGCTTGGCCTGACTGCCCTCCTCACAGCATCAGGTACAGTTCCCAACAAATGCTGGCCGAGCTGTGCTTGGAAGAAGGGAAGGAAGGGAGATCAGTGCATCACTTCTGTGTGATGTTTTAAACATAAAATAAGAACCGTCTCCCCAGACACTGTGAAAGCATTAAAACATGCAAAGCTGAAAAGAATTGTGTGCTACCAATTCGGTGACCATCCGTCTGAACCACGGAGCTATTAACTGAAGCTCTTTTGGAGGAGATGGTCTCAAATTGGATTGGCTTGCCTTGTTGTGACACAGATACTTCAGGAAGCCTCAGGGTTTGACAACTGACACTATTCTATCTGGCCCAGAAGCAGCGTCCTGAATGCAGAGCCACAGTGGCCGTGTGGAGTACCTTTCATCACAGGTCCTGGGATACCAGGTGATGGAATGGATCTGAACCTGAATTGGGCCCAACCAGGCTCTGAGGTGTAGGTTGCTTACTTTTTTGCAGACCCTGTTTCTTCTTCTGTGTAATGGGATTAATAGTCCTGACAATACTGGATGGCGCGAGACGGAGGTGAGCCCTTGTCCGTCCTTACCTGCATGAAGGGACATGAAGTGATGGAAGCCGGGAAGGCCTGGCGCCACGGGCACGCTCAGCGCCGTGGGCTCTCGTCCTTCATCTGGGTTTGCACCATGGACGAGGAATTCTAGGTTCACTCCTGTGTCTCTTATCTGGCAGGACTTTGGACCAAAGCCTCGGGCGGGCTCCCCCGAACGCATGGGCTGGGGCCAAGGGTTAACATGCAAGGCCCTCCCAGATGCAGCCCGCTCGCGGAAGCTGTGGGCCTGCAGTGCCGCGCCAAACCTCCTTCCAGCCCAAAACATACAGAAGAGTGGTACACACACACACACACACACACACACACACCACACAAACACCACACACACACCACATAACCATACTCTCTCTCTCTCTCTCTCTCTCTCTCTCTCTCTCTCTCTCTCTCTCTCTCTCTCTCTCTTTCTCTCTCTCTCTCTCTCTGCTGGATTCTGGCATCTGATTTCCACTCCTACTCTCTCTTTCTTCTCCACCCGCCCGGACTGGAGTTTCTAGGGGCCCCTTTGCCCTAAATTTCAGCAGGAAACAAACCAGCAGCCAGATGTCTGACTCCTCCACCCCATTGGCAGGGATTGGCCATCTTCCATGGACACTTCCGGGCCTGTCCTCTGTTAGAGATCTTTCAGCTTCTTCATGCTCCGTCTCCTTCAGCTCAGACACAGGAACACCCCCCGGAAGAGAAGCAAAATGCAGCCAGCCAGGAGTGGGCAATGCGTGGGAGATCCCTATGCCCTAGCAGCCAGTGGGCGGTTGAGGTCTCAGAGAGGGTGTGTGCGGGGAGGGCCGCTGCTCCCTTCCTAGATGCATTTGTTCTGTCCCTGAATTCAAGTCTAGAGAAGACTGGAGGCTTTGATCAAAGATGAGATAATTAAACCAACGTACGACTTCAAGAACACACGGAGGAAGAGACACGCAGCTGCTGTCACATCAAAGTATTTGTGGAAACACAAGAGGCAAGGTGACCCTCAAAGTCTGGAGTTGGGGTGGGGGTGGGCGTTTGCTTCCCTGACACAAAGCAGGGCATTTCACTCATTAGCTCTGTTGCTTCCCAGTCAGAGCAACTGAGGGTCTGCTGGAAGGGGAAGGCCTTGCTGGGCCTGCTGCCGGGGGGCATGATGTGCCCAGCTCAGGCTCTCTGGAATGGTGACTGGTGTGGCTTGGCCTGCTTGCCCTCTCTGCCCGCCGTCTTCTGATGGCCGGGCAACCTACAGCAGTCAGGCAGGAAGTAGCGGCTACCATGGGAAATTTTCTGTCTAGTGGCAGATGGCTTTTGTTTTGTTTTCCTTTGCTGAGCTTAGCTTTGTTTTGTTTTGTTTTGTTTTGTTTTTCAGGTCATGCTGTGCAGCCCAGGTTGGCCTTGAACTCACAGTCTTCCTGTCTTGGCTTTCCAAGTGCCAGGATTACAGGCCTGTGCCACCACGCCCAGGTTTGAAAAATACACATGAAAGGAATGAGAAGTGACTCTGCTTTCCAAGTCGGCACTCGGGGTCGGTTTATGGGGGATGGAAAGTTCTCCAAGAAGAGCCTGTGAGCCAGGTGGAGAGCTGCGAGAAGCCTCTTGGAACAGGGTTGCAAGGGATGCCCAGTTGACAGCACAGACTCCAGTGTTCACCCCATCCATCCCTGTTCTCTCCGGGGCTTTCCTCACACGCCTCTGGCTCTACAGATGTAAGCCTCCGTCCCGTTGTTTCTAAAAGGGAGAGTCGCTGATCTTTGTGCCTCAGTTTCTCCACTTGTAAAATGGGCAGAGTTCGTATCTGACGGTTTTCCTGGAGGAGTTTAAGCGAAGAGCTGCCACAGTTAGCACATGGCAGACTCTTTATGAGCTTCTGTTCTGGCGAATTTTCTTTCCCTTGTCACGGAAGGCACCTACCTGTCTGTGCACCTGTTGGGCAGAGGGTTCCCACAGAATGCAAGTGTCCCCTCTTCAGCATTTCCCATAGGGACTTACCTAGGTCTTTGTCCTCTGGCTGTTTCTAAAAGGAGAGATACTTCCAGGCCCTGACACCCGTTCCCAAGCTTTCTGGGTTGGGAGGGCATTGCCCTCTGCTGCGGTCCAGGCATGTCCATTAAAGATCTGTTGGAAGCTTGGTCTTAAACATGGTGGTACAGTGGTGATACAGGCCTTTAAGAGGTGGGGCTCATGACAGGCCTCTCAGCCAGTGGAGAGCTGTCTTCAGAGGGTGTTAGTGTAGCTCTCGGGACACCTGAGGTCTTTAGTTGTTGGGAGAGTGGGCCTGCCCTCTGACCTGGTCTTGGGCTTCCTGTTTGAACATGTGATCTCTTCCTTCCACACTGACCCCCACACACACCACTGCGATACCTTCTGCCATGATGCCTTCATCTAGACATCCTCCAAAGCGATGATACAAACTGTCAGCTCTCGACGTGACAGGAACTCGGGAAGGGGAGACCTCAAACGATGAATTGCCCACATCAGACTGGCCTGTGACGGTGTTTGTGAGGCTTTTTCTTAAGGGGAAGAGCGCCCAGCCCACTGTGGGTGGCCATCCCTAGGGAGGGGGCCTGGCTTCATAACACATACAGCTGAGAAATCCAGAGGGAACAAGGATTTCCTTGCCCTGGTTTCCCTCAATGACAGGCCAACCTGTAAGATGAAGTTAACCCCTTCCTCCCCCAACTTTGCATGTGTCTGTGTTTTATCACAGCGGCTGAAGGAAACAAGACAGAGACTTCTTTTCTTCCATACTAACTCACCTCAGATATTCTGTTATAGTAGAATAATGGACTGGTATATCATGGCAAGGTCACTGTGGGAAGTGTGTGCCCCTCCTGTCCTGAGTCCACAGCCAAGAGCTTTATCACTGATGTTGTCAGTTGTTCACTTCATAGAACTGAGGACAGAGGGAGAGACAGAGAGAGAGAAGACTGAAAAAAAGAAACCAGAGCCCCAACCATAATGTAACTGAAGCCCAAGAAGGGGTTCTGCTGTTAGCTTTGTGTTCTAAACAAGGACTTAATTGAAAGTGGTAATAAGAGAAAATAACGGCACTTACAAACCTAGGGCCCGAGCAGTTTGGGTTCTGGGCCGTGGGTCAGAGCAGGCTCTCTAAGCCAACTGAGATGCCCATGGCTTCTGATATTAGTTACCTAGGGATGCCAAGCTGCAGGCAGGGTCTGCACAGCTCTGCAGATTCACCATCAGGCCGAGGGTCACCCAGATGCCAGACCTTGGGGAAAGCCTGTGGTTTGAGGACATTACCTGATGTCCCTCTGGGAAGGACACTCAACTGAGGTGCCGTGTGAAATCTCCACGGCCAGGACTCACTTTACATTCCATCCTCTCCAGTCCCATGGATACGGGTCTACTGAAACAGCCCATTAGTTCTGTCTTCCAGACGCCATCATTGTTTTATCTGAGCATCGGGGGAGGCAGATGGTTTATTGGAATGTTTTGTGGATGAACTCAGATATTAAACTTTTCTTCTACTCCAGTCTGGCCACCTAGACTCAACACACAGTCTGCACACTGCAGACTCTCGTCATGCCAGCAGGCATAGCCTAAGTAGACAAAGCAGTGAGAATTTTAACATTAGCTACACAGCTGAGATCTAACCCATGGAGACACACTTCCAGTGGACCCCAGAATCACATTGCACTAGGAGCTTGTTACATAGATGCTCAGCTATTGGAAGGGCCAAAGAGGAGAGTAAATGGTACCTCCAGTGTGTTGTGTGTCCTGTGGATTGTGTGTGTGTGTGTGTGTGTGTGAGAGAGAGAGAGAGAGAAAGACAGAGACAGAGACAGAGAGAGAAGGGATGTGGACTATCTACTAAGAAAGAGGTTATTTTCCTTGTAAAGGAGAGCTGCTTGACAGAGTGGATCCCCAGATATCTCTGTCCTGCCTCTGCCTGTCTCTTGGGGTTTCTCAGAAAATGTCCTCAGATCCTCCCTCCCCTCACACACAGGTAACTTTTCGTGGGACATCCCAGCCAGTGTTGGAAAGTGTCCGCCATCATGTGCCACGCAGAAATCTTATGGCCAGGCCAGGAACAGCATTTTCTCTGTGTCTAAACATGCCCTTTAGTAAAAGCCAAGACAACACCAGAGCACAAGTGAATGGTTCAGCTTCTGCCAGTAGGAGTGAAGCTTGGCTCATTTTTTTTTTTTACAGTATTTGGCAGGATTTCTCAAAACTAAGGATGCACACATCCTTTAATTTATGCCTTCCCTTTCTGAACTCCTGTCCTGTGGGAACATGTGCATGCACGCACAGAGAGGCGCAGGCACAAGCCTGTTCTTCACCCTGTGCCAGTAATATAGGAGGACTAGAAACAGCCATTGAGCTCACCCAGATCCACACACATGCACGCACGCGTAGTGTGTCCGCTTTGTAATAGCAACAGCCAGCACGAAGAAGCAAAAGCCCCTGGTTGGAGCTGCTTAGTGCCCCACTGAGGAGGGTTAGTGTGTGGTCCTTGATGGAGGAGAAAGGCCGCAGATACAGTGTTAAGAGGAAAGAGATTGCAGAGTGTAACGTGGAGTGAACTTAGGAGTTAGCAGATACCTGAAAACACGATCTGCGTGAACAGACGGGAACATCTAGTCACTGCTGTCACCTTGAGGGCTGGGATCTTGCCCTCTCCGTTATCTCTTCCCGTGATTCTTCTGATGAACATACATTAGAGTTTTAAATAAAAAAGCAGGAAGAATGCTTGAGGACGAACACATGAACAAAACAGCAAATAAACCTGCGGCTGGGACTATGCTGCACATGCCCAACCTGCAGGACATACGGAGAGGGGTTGACTTACGCTCTCTGTGGGGATCTTTGGTGGGCAGGAGGCATGGTTTGCCAGGACCTGAGGCACAGGAGCTGAGGGGTCTGATTCTGATGGGGACTACAACTCGCCAAGCACTGGCATGTTCTGCATTGCTCAGTGATAAAACGGAAATTCTGGGCAGAGTGTAATGAGCCAGGCATCTGGATGCAGGGCCAGCCCTCTGCCCGTCTCTTCCCATGGATCTCTGGGCCAAGCCTGGCTCTGCTTGCGAATGGATCTGGGTCTGAGCCAGGAGAGGAAGAGGGGCTTCCACAGGAGCCATCTCTCACCCAGGCTGGGAACTCCTGCCATCTCGTCTTCAGTTCCTCCCTCCTCCCTAGAGACACTTTGGTGCCTTCTCTGTGACCCTCTGATTCTTCAAGCAACTGAAGGTACCACTGATCCGAGAAGCCTACTTTCCATGGCTCCTTGCGCTCTGCTCCCTTCCTGGCTTGACTAGCTCGGTCAACGTGGTTTAGGGACTCGCTGCTCTCATTCCAGAGACTGGAAAGCTCCAGGGTGAAGGCCCAGCAGACTCTGGGTCTAGTGAGAGGCATCACTCGTAAGTGAAAAGGACAGGAAAACTCTTGGACTGTGGCACTGAGCCTAATGCTGATAGTGGAGCCTGTGACCTTAGTTCCTCCAGAAGGCCCCCTCTTTATAGCACGACTTTGGGGTGGTGGCATGAGGCCATGTGGGAACTTTGAGGGGTACAAGCCTTCTACCCACAGCATCTGGCTGTAGCATGAATAATAAAAACCCTGAGACAGATACTGGGGTTCAAATTGAGGATCAGAGAAGCAAAGCAGCCAGCCAGTAGCTCTTACCTCTGCCAAGGCTGCAATGGAGATCCTGTCTTCCCTGTGACTGGAATCTGAATCTCACATGAGACCCTTTGCTTCTTCCTTACAGACCTCTCTAGTGCTGGAATCAAAGGCGTGTGGCCCAGGGAGCTCATGGACTCACAGACGTCCATCTGCCTCTGTCTCCTGAGACCTGGGATTAAAAGTGTGTGCCGCCACTGCCTGGTGTCTATGGCTGACTAGTGTGGCTAGCTTTGCATTTGGATCCCCAGGCAAGTTTTGTCAAATCATAAGTAATATCTCAACACAGCTGGCTCTCACAGATGGGCGGTCTGGGTAGATCCTCTCCAGCAAGACATGGACTGCAGCTCCAGGGGCACCAAGTCCAGAGCCTCAGATGCAACTCACACTTCTTCCCTGGTCACCTGGACTCATAGGACGCATGAGAACTCTGTGGTTTCCTTAGTTTTGACCAAACTGAGAGTGCCCACTATCTCGGTTAAGGTTTTTTTATTGCTGTGAAGAGACACCATGACCATGGCAACTCTTAGAAAGAAATCATTTTATTGGGGTGACTCCCTTACAGTTTCAGAGGTTCAGCCCATTGTCATCATAATGGGGAGCATGGTGACTTGCAGGCAGACATGGTGCTGGAGAAGTAGCTGAGGGTCCTACAGGAAGTTGCCTGCCACACTGGGTGGCATCCTGAGCATAGCAAACCTCAAAGCCCACCCCCACTGTGACACTTCCTCCAACAAGGCCACACCCACCCCAACAAAGCCACACCTCCTAATAGTGCCACTCCCTGAGAGATTATGGGAACCAATTACATTCAAACTGTCAAATTCACCAACTGCAGACTATAGTTGTTTTTTTTGGGGGGGGAGCACCACCCAGCTCCCAAATAAATACACAGAGATTCATTCTTACTTCTGAATACCTGGGCTTAGCTTGGCTTGTTTCTAGCCCCCTTTTCTAACTTAAATCATCCCATTTCTCTTTAACTATGTTTTTGCCTCTAAGATTTTTACCTTTCTTTATTCTGTACATCTTTCTTTAGATCTTACTCCATGGCTGGCTGGGTGACTACTAGGTGGCTGCCCCTGGCGTCCTCGTCTCCTCCTCCTTTTCCACTCCTTGTTCTCTTCCCTCTATTTCTCCTTCTACTTATTCTCCCTGCCTATCAGCCCCGCCTACTTCTCTCTCCTGCCTAGCAATTGGTCACTCTGCTCCTTACTAGACCAATCAGGTGTTTTAGGCAAGCAAAGCAGCACAGCTTTACAGAGTTAAGCAAATGCAACATAAAGGAATACAGCACATCTTTGCATCATTAGACAAATGTCCCACAGCATAAATGAATGTAACACATCTTACACTAATACTCCTCAATAGCAGACTGCAATGCTGTCTCTGAAGGAAGGCTCTAGCAACTGAGCAAGTGTACTTTCTGTCTGTCTGTCTGTCTCTCTCTCTCGGTCTCTCTCTACTTTCTGACATAGAGAAAATTCACAGGGTATCATGTGACACACTCTTGAAAGCTACTGTAGCATAGAAACAGCTATCACAGCTAACCTGTGGACGCTGAAACATGTGCAGCCTTGTAAGTAATGGGCATGTACTTCCCCCACTGTAAGGAGTGGTTTTTCCTAGGAACAGTAAAGGAAGACGCAGCAAGCCTCTCAGAGCCATGTTCTCTCCAGCATCACACAGGAGGTGGCCTTCATGAGAGCTGTTGATTACCGGCCACACTAGGAATTTGGGCCAGGACTGTGCGGAGGATGTTTGCTGCATTTTTTATTTTAACAGGATAATAAAAAGATGAAGGAAGGAAGGAAGGAAACTGGGGTTCTGTGGAGTCTTTGCCCAACACACATCCTGTTACAGGGCAGAGGAAATGCTTCACATGGAATCTACTTGGACCCTCAGAACTATTTTCTTTTCCATAAATTCGAACTATCATTTTTATCATCTAAAAAGCCAAGTCCCCTGTGATTTCCAGAGTCATTCAAATTTGCTTGAATTTCAAAGACAACTCTTCAAATTTGTGTTTAAAATAGGCTTTTTAAAAAATCTGGGGCTGGTGAGATGGCTCAGCGGTTGGGAGTACTGGCTGCTCTTCCAAAAGGACCCGGGTTCAATTCCCAGAAACCACATGGCAGCTCACAGCTGTCTATAACTCCAGTCCCAGGGAATCTGGCATCCTCACCCAGACAAGCATGCAGGCAAAGCACCAATGCACATAGAATAAAATAAACAATTCTTAAAAATATCAAATCTGTGTGATTCTCAGAGCCAATAGCCACACTGTAAAACATTAAAATTCTGGGATTTGGAGTCTAACAATTAACTCAAATTCACTTAAAAATGTGACCTTAATCAGGGCATGGTGGTACACTCCTCTAAATCTCAACTACTCCAAAGGTGTAGGCGGTAGAATCTCAGATGTGTGGCATACTGGGGCCCCACAAGTGAGACACCATCTAAAAGAGAAGGTCTCGAGGGTCACCTCAGGTGGCTACTGCCCTCAACCTCGGTTATCTAACTGAAATAACAAAATACTCACGATACATTCAAATTCGTGCGAAAAGTTCTGCATTTTCTGCCTGTCTCGTGGCTTCTTTGGAGGCACCGGCCACCCCTGAGCTGCTGGTCCTAGACTCAGGGCTTGGTGGCTGCCCCCAGTGTGGATTGCCAGAAAGCCAAGGGATCAGCACAGGGACAGTGGCCGTCATCCAGAAACAAGCATTTCAGGAGAGAGACTGAGGCGGCACACTCCTGTGTTGGGAAGTCCTTTATGGACCATACAGTTAAGACTAAGGGGCTTCTGGGGAGAACTTCGTGTTAACCCTGGCCAACAGAGCATGCCCCTTCTAGGAGTGGAGGGGCCGGAGAGACTGTTGGCATGGGGACAGACGCATCCTTGGACTCAGCCTAGAGACGGACAGCTGTGACCTTCATTGCGTATCAGGCCAAGAGCGCTCCCTAGCATAGTAGTGTGGTCTATCAGTCCTGGGGAACGCACGTCCAGGAGCAAGAGCTCTGAGCTCCATTTCTCAGCGTTCAGCATCTGCCCACACTCCACATGCGAGGCCCAGGATCACTAGTGGAGACCTAGCATGGTCGGTTCCCTCTTGCTCTGCCCCCCAGGAAAGGGCCCTGGCTGGCTCGGGGTGTTTTGGGATGGGAGCTTGTTCATCTCATTCCATTCACATTTACTAATCCATCCACTCTGTGCCAGGCCCGAGTCTAGACTTGGGGGATACCATAAGCAGTGGAGAGCCTCAGCAATCTACCTGATCAGCAGGCTGACTGACTGGTTGGACTCCAAGCCCAGTTTATGGGATCTGCTCACACTAGCGCACCTTCAGTTGATGTCTATTGATACTTGGAACTAAGAAAAACCTGAGCTGTGCCCCAGTCTTGGGAAGATCCGTCCCCGTGACAGACACAGCAGAGTGTGAACGATGTCAAACCAGGGCTCCATCTGGGGTCTTTGAGATGTTCCCCAAACAGCGAGCATCCAAGATGGAATTGGTGGCCCATAGTCACCAGAGGGAGAAATGGTGTGGCAGTGTGAGCATCCTGAGGAGACAGGGAGGGAGAGGAGACTACGGAGATGCTTTGGTTCCTGGTGGCAGGGGTCTGGTTAGGGTGTCTGAAGTGGCTCTTCAGTTTAGGGAGAGCTGTTGGCCGATTTTAACCCAGAAAGCAACGTGCTTAGGCCAAGTGAGGTTTTTGGATCCTCCCGACTGTTGGGAAGTTTGTGGACCTTAAAGGATGAAGCAGGGAGGCAGGGATGACTGTGGAAGCAGTGACTGCCCTGGTAAGAGAAAGAAGGCTAGTACTTGTGGGGAGAGGAAGAGGCCTTGAGTCTGTGAGTTCTGGGTGACTATGTTCCGTGGCTTTGGATGTCACCTCAAACACCACATCTTTAAAGATCCGTCACCTACCTGTCCATCACCCATCATCTGTCCCTACATCCATCATCTGTCTTATGCCAGCTACTGTCTTAGTCAGCGTTTCTATTGCTGCGTGAAACTCCATGACCAAGAGCTAGTCAGGAGAAAGGGTTGTTTTCCTTTACACTTCCAGGTAGTAGTCCATCACCAAGGGGGTCAGGGCGGGAACTCAAACAGGGCGGGAACCTGGAGGCAGGAGCTGGTGCGGAGACCTTGGAAGGGTGCTGTTGACTGGCTTATTCCCCGGGGCTTGCTCAGCCTGTTTTCATATATACATACCAGGACCACCAGCCTAGGGATGACACCACCCACAATGGGCTGGGTCCTCCCATCAATCACTAATTAAGAAGATGCCCTACAGCCTGATCTTATGGAGATAATCCCTCAACTGAAGTTCCCTTCTCTCAGATGACTCGAGCTCTAGCCAAGTTGACTTAAAACTAGCCATGTACCTACCCTCATCACACACACGCCTGTGTATTTCACTGTATTGTAAGCTCCTTGAAGACAGGAATCTAAAGTCTGCTGGGAAATAAACAGCTCTTGCTCAGAGCCTAGCATATTGCAATAGCCACTCTGTCAATTTTTTGTTAGATGAATGAATGAATGAATACATAGTTTCCAGATGTTCCCGTTCATTTATATACTTACAGAAGTTTGTTTTTGTTGTTTGTTTTACAGTATCTGCTGCCGTCTCCATTCTCAGTGTGTAGGAGCAAGCACAGGTGTGCGCTCTGAAAGCGGAGGCTCCGTGGGAACCCAGACCGAAGGAGATGCTCCAGCACGGGGAGTTGTGAGGAAACGTGGCGTGGGGAGCTGGAGGGCAGGCAGTGAAGAGAGGGGCCATGAGTGGTGAGCATGGGGTCGAGGGACAGAGAAGGAGACAGAATGGAAGGTCAGGGGGAAAGCCAGTGCGGAGGGGCCGGGAAAGCAGAGGAGAGAAGCGGAAGTGGGGGGGGCGGAGCCGGAGGCCATGGCAGTGGTGGGACTACCGGAAGGGTGTGAGTCAGGGAGGTGAGTGGGGGTTGGTGGGACGATCCGAAGGGTGTGAATCCGGGAGGTGGTGGGGTTGGGAAGATAAGGTTTGTGACAGTGGGGGACACATTCAAAGGGTCAAGGAGGGAAGGAGGAGATATGGACCTTCTAGGCAGATGCTGGGGTAGGGGTGGGGCAGCAGGGAAGAGGGAGAGGTTGGGATAGGGATGAGAAGAGGAAAAAGAATCTTTGTGTGAACCACACATAACCATCAACACTGCTGCTCGTGCATGGACACACACACACACACACACACATACACACACATACACACCCTCTGACCATCTTACTTGGAAGAGATGGAGGGGGAACCCATCTAGGTTAGAGGATTCTTCACTGGGCTGTGCCCCTTTGTGGATTAACTTGTCAGTCCTTCAATAAGGGAGAAACAGACTGGGGTAGACTCAGGTGCCTGATAATTAGAAACAATGAAAATTGCAATGAGAGCCTGAGTAAACACAGTAAGAGTGTACCCTGGACAGTCTGGTTCAGTCTTGGCCATCCTCACTGGACAGGAGCCTAAGCGTCCAGACTGTCTGGTTCAATGCTATGCAGACTCTCTGGCTTCCTTCCTGCCCCAGGAAACCCAGACTGCCGCTCACAGCTCACAGATCTTCAACCCAAAGAGCATCCAAGCATTGAGCTCCTCCCTCTGCCACATAGCCCAACCCTCTGTCACCCTCAAGGACCCCAGGCCCTTCCCTCACGGTGACTCTAAGAATCCCCTCTGTGGCTCCTGGCACTCAGGCCTCCCCTTCCTTCACCCGCTCACTTCGCATTCTTGGCTTGACGAATCAATCACGCCACCATTTTATCTTGTCTTGGATCAGACCCAAGGCTTCTGTTGGCTGACTCCCTGGGCTGCGTACATGGGAAGGGGATGGAGAAAGGACCCTCAAGAGCCCCGGGCTCCAGGAAGAGGAGCGGTGGCCCCCACCCCCTTCTCCTCGTCTCTGACTTCCCAGTAGCAGTTGAGAGGTGTTTGGACGGAATAGAGATGGAGACTTAGCCCGAGGGACGCCTCTCGTAGTGACTTCTGCTTCAAAGTGAGCACACTGTTTCCTAGGCAGAGCGGCCTTCTTGTTCCCAAGGCCGTTTCCCAGCTGGTCACTTCCATTGTTAGTGTGCCAAGCGTGGCACTGTGTACCAGGTCTGTGCGTGTCGGCACAGAGGTGATCAAGCAGGGTCGAGGTCAGGTTCAGTGGAGAGTTTAAAAAGATAAAATGAAATGGAAAAAAAAAACATCCCTTTGTAAGAGGCCCTTAGGTTTGGGGGGCGATCATAAACTCTGAAAGCAGGCACAGGGTCCTCTCAATAAGCACATTTGCATTTGTAGAAATGTACTCAGCTCTGTGTGTCTTGTCAGGTCTCTTCCATGGGAGGGCCAGGCCTTAGCTCCCAGTGGCAGGCAGTTGGGTACTTAATCCCTTCTTCATGCCAGAAGTCGAGAGAATCCAGGCTTTATCCAGGCCCCAGGTCCAGGCCAGGGAGAAGTATGTGAATGAGTGCATTTTCTGCCTTTCTCCCAGGCAGTCCCATCGGATACGAGCCCTTTCTCACTCTGTAGTTGAAGTCGGACTTTCTGGGATTTCTCTCCAGGTCACTGGTGCATAAGTGCTGTTTATGACATGGTCTAAGGGAGAAACTTGTCCCAGCCTCAGCTCGAATGGGCTGGCTCCTCACCCAAGAACCTTCCCAAGTCACACTCAGGGATGACCCTTAGGTCATTGTGACAAGAGAAACCCTTCACAGGCACAGCCACCAAGGGAAATTTTACCTGGGCTCCAGCCATACTGAAGCACTGACCTGAGTTCAGTCAATAAAGCCCTCAGGTCAAAATGAAAACCAAGCAAACAGATCAGTGTGTGGTGTCCGCAGGAACAAACTGTACAGAGTGGGCTAGCTCACGTCTTACTGTTTGCCGTGTTTGTAGCTAACGCCCACAGTCCCCATCGCATGCGCAGAGCTTGTTTTGCTGTTAACTTTGGGGGTGTTCCTCCGGGGACTTTTCCCTCAAGGTTGTCCCCTGAGGAGAATGGAAACAGCTGTTTGGTCCTCCCTTGAGGCACCCCTCCGCCTGCCTTCCCTGCTCCTCTCTCTCATCATTCATGCTTTGCCCAGCAGCAGGCGTCCCAGTGGGGACCACAGCCCAGCAGAGGAGCCTCGCAGGCTTCAGGAAGGCTCACTAGGTGACCGATAGGTGACAGAAGGCTCTTGAGATGGCCTGAGCAGAAGTCACGTGCAAGACGGTGGCACCGCCCCTGAAATTTTGGATGAAGGCTTGTCTTTAAGTCACTTCGTCTTCCTGCCACCTCCCTGTCTGTGACCACGTTCTCTGGTTCCTCCTTCTCACTGTAGAGCTAACTACTTAAAGTCCAGAAGAATTTGGTGACCGCTGATAACCCCTGCTTCATGTAGGACAGTTCCTTGATGGCCTCAAAAGCCCTGACTGACTTACCCTGTCCCCTTCTGCAAGCTCCCTTGCTCTGCCTCCTCTGTCTGTCACCTGGAACTTCCTTTGGTTTCTCAGTCACCAACATCGTCACTCATGTTGCTGGGGTCTGTGTCCACAGTGGTCATGCTTAAGAGGCACATCCCTTGTGCCACCCAAACACCCTTCTCCTTGTTTACTCCTGTTCCTTTCAGGGCTTCCCCTTACGCAAGCAGCGCGCCCGTCCCCGACTTTCTAGCTTCATTGTCCCATGCTCCTTTTTATGCAGTGTGGCTATTTGGTCATTGCCCCCTTCCTCCGAGTTATGCAGCCTGTGTGAACAGGTCTAGTGCTCCCTGTCATTGTGCCAGGCACCTGTCATCCCAATGCCACATAGCACAGTAGGAATAAAAGTATGTCCAGCGTGTGGATAATTGCAAGTCAGCGCTTGCCTTGTGTAGAGAAAGCTATTGGTATGGAGCAGAACCCCTGGCTCTGACTTTGGGTGCTGGCCTGGCCGTGGTGTCTGTTTCCCGCACAGCTGCCTCATCAGGACAACGACCTGAGCACTCCCTTTCTGCATCCGTGCTTGGCTTTGGCCATGCGATCGACGTAGAAGCCGCCTACAGTTCCGGCCACAGCCGCCCATGTGAGGACTGATGTCCTCCTCCTGACAAACTGTGAGTTGACAGAAGGTGGCAGAAGTCACTACTTTCTTGGGAGGCTTGGCATGAACTTCCACTCCATAGTACGACAGCCAGGCTGCATCAGTGCAGGAGGCTTCTCTTTGCTATGGAAACATTACATGGCCACCGCTTGAGTCAAGAAGCCAGGGTTGACTTTGAATAGTTTCCCTAATTTGGCTCATCAGTCCAAATTGCCTCTAATGTGGCGCGTTAGTAACACCCTCATAGTGTCAATGCTACACCCACAGAAGCATTAGCCACTGAGCGAAGGGAACGAATGGGTTTCACTATGCCTCGTGATAAACATGTCGGAACACGGACTCCATTCGCTTGGGGCCTTTAAAGATTGCTCAGGGCCCTGGCATGGCTGTTAGAATAAAGTCTATGGCCTACTTGCTCTGTATGACTTTGCCACCACCAAATGACATGGATTCTGACTACAAATTGCAATTATGCGCACTAACACATTTATTTATTTATTCCTTTGCTTAGTAACCTATTCTTTTCCCAGCTCAGTTTGCAGAGTGCTGTGGTTCCCTAACGTTCATCAGATGATGCATAAAAGCCTGTGGTTGGGGTGGAAAGTTGACTATGGCTCTGTGCTTCATCAAGCCGGGATGATAGGCAACGTTGTGCAGTGGTTAGACACAGCTGGGCGTGAATTCTGTCTCCACTGCTGAGCTACGTAGGGACATTTGAGAACTGGCTTCCCTGAGCTCCCATTTCTATGTCTGTGGATGACTGTACAGCCCCTCACTGCCTTACACCAGGTGCTGCTTTTCCTTCTTACTTACTTCCCAGGATACAAAGTATCAAGGGAAGATCTCTAAGAACCAGTCCGTCCCCACAGAAGACCTGTAAAGAGCTGGGTCAAGAGATGGGACAGTCAGGTCACCTGGTACTCCAGTTGCAGGTGGTCGTGAGGCTTAACTTAAGTCCCCTGGAAGAACAAGCGCTCTGAACACTGAGCAATCTCTCCCACAAGGTATCCCTGAAAGACACCTTTACAGCAAGGCCAAAAATACCTAATAGAGCTGTGAGCCTCCAGTCACAGAAATGTGGTGACTCAATGATTTGTGCTATAGTTGCTCTTTTCTGTGTAGTCCTGGCTGTCCTTGAACTCACCCTGTAGACCAAGGTGGCCTTGAACTCACAGAGATCCCCCTGCCTCTGCCTCACAAATGCTAGGATTAAAGGCGAGCGCCACCACTGCCCAACTGTACTAGTTTCTTGTTTAAAAAAAAAAAAAGATTGTGTTAGTAACTGTAACAGAGTTCTAAGTTTCCAGTGGTATTTCATGAAGTATTCAAGTTGCCAAAAAGTGTGTGCTTGCTCAGTGTGAGATATCACACACACACACACACACACACACACACACACACACACATACATGGATGTGGCAAGATGATACCTTATCTGTAGCTATTGCTAATTTTTATTCAAGGAATTCAAGACATTTTACATTTTCTCTAGGATTTAAATTTTCCAACAAATATATATTTCTCTGAAAAATATGAAACTGTAAATTTGGGAGAATTTATGTCTTCCTTCCTTTTCTTTCCTTTTGAACAGGATTTCAGTATAAACGTGGATTGGCTTTGAACTCACGGTCCTCCTGTTTCTGCCTCTGGAACTCCTAGTTTGTACCATCACACCAGGTGCTGAAGGTCCGTTTCTAAAATCCATGTTTCCGGAAGGGTTGTCTATAGTAAGTCTGATTGTACTTGATTTCAAATGACTGCAGTGAACAGTTTTGTCATTTGGGATTAAAATCTTTATTGCAGGAAAAGTTTATTGCTTTGCATTTTCACAAGTGAATGGTCCAAACAAGGAGCTCCTCCATGCATCTCCTCCACGGTGCACAGTTGCAGAGAAAAGACAGGTTTGGTTTTCTCCTCTCCAGCTCTTACATGTCGTATTTGAGGAATCTGAAGACAAAACACAAGCAAGCATGCCCGGGAGATGGGAGATGGGAGACTGGAATGTCACTGGGTAGGGAAAACACCTTTGCATGCCGGGTTTTGGACACCTCATCCAACACAATCTCCATTGCTTAACATGATGCCTGGCACATAGGAGGCACTGTGTGTGTGTGTGTGTGTGTGTGTGTGTGTGTGTGTGTGAGTTTGTGTGTCTGTGTGTTTGTGTGTATGTGAGTGTGTGTGTCTGTGTGTGAGTTTGTGTGTCTGTGTGTGAGAGTGTGTATGTGTGTCTGTGTGAGTGTGTGTGTCTGTCTGTGTGACTGTAGGAGTGTGTGTGTCTTTGTGAGTGTGTGTGTGTGTCTGTCTCTGTCTGTGTGTATGTGTCTGTGTATATGTGTGTCTGTGTGTGTCTATGTGTTTCTGTGTGGCTGTGTGAGTGTGTATCTGTCTGTGTCTGTGCATGTATAGGTATATGTTCACATGTTTGAAGGTTGGAGGCCAGAGGTTGATGGTGGACATCTTCCTTAATCACTCTCCACATTATTTGTTTGAGGTGGGGTCTCTCACTGAATTGGAGCTCCTGATTCAGTTAGACTGCCTGGCAGAAAGCCCTAGAGGTGTTGCTGTCTTCTGTGTCTCTGTGCTGGGGTTCCAGGCGTGAACTACTGTGCTGCCCCTCGTTCTTGACATAGGTGCAGGGATCTGGACTTAGGTCTTAATGGTTTGTGTGCAAAATACTTTATGAACTGGGCCATTTCTCTAGCCCCAGTGCATACATGCTTTTATAATGAATGAATGAATGAATGAATGAATGAATGAATGAGTGAGGTGAGTGAGTGAATGAATGCTAAATCTAAGGACTGAATTTCTGTCACAGGAAGAAGGGAGTCACACCCAGGTACATAGTAATTGAGGGCCCGCATTAGTTGTGAAGTGGAGCTTAATTACAGTGGGGTACGCAGACTTTGATCAAGTCTTGACCTGTGTGAAGTGAATGCCGACCGGCAAGGCGAGAACTGCGTGTTCTCTGAGTGTAGAGGTGGCAGACAGGGAGGGCGAGAACGCAGATATGGCAGGGGAAGGCCTTCTGAGGTGTTGGCTGATGAGCAATACAGTTCTCTAGCACTAGGCGTAGCGTTCCAGAAGTTTCCAAGGTGGAGAAAGCTGGGACCACAAACACAAAGGCTCTGATTTGCATAGGAGCTTGTGGCCCCTGAGGATGTTAGGAACGGTGAGGTTGTGCCCCTCTGGAATGGGCTGTGGGAAGGGCTCTAGATTTGATCTTAAGTGCAGTGAAAGGGCCTTGAAGGCTTTCATTCGCGGGTGACATTCTTATTTAAAATTTCGACACTGGAAGCAGCAGACACCCCGGGAGGTACCAGGATAGTGACCTGGGTTTGGATCTAGGGCTGATTGTCCATGACAACAAACGTGGGGACAAGTGGGTGGATGTGAGCTAGTTCCCAAGTGGGACAGCTGAGTCTTGATGCTGTATTGAGAGCCGAGGGAAACCCTCCTGAACCCAGCAGACTCCGGCCACCCAGCAACCTCGGGGACTCTGCTTCCGGGCACTTTCTCTCCCAACCTCCCTTTGGGGTTCTAGTTTCCTGCCAAGTACATACATACCACCTTGTTACATATTAACAGTTATCTGCTTCCTTATTTTAAAAAATGGGGGCTGGAGAGATGGCTCAGAGGTTAAGAGCACTGACTGCTCTTCCAGAGGTCTTGAGTTCAATTCCCAGCAACCACACGGTGGCTCACAACCATCTGTAATGACATCTGTTGCCCTCTTCTGATATGCAGGCATAACACTGAATATTTAATAAATAAAATAAATCTTAAAAAAATAACGGGGAGAGATGGTTCAAGGGTTGAGAGCATCCTGAGAGGACCTGAGTTCAGTTCCTGGTGCCTATGTTGGGCAGCTCACAGCCCCCCTGCAACTCTAGCTCTAGGAGAGTCAAATGCATGTAGCCTTTTTGGGCAACTGCACTTAATGTGCACAAATTCACCCACCCCACTACAGTTTAAAAAAAAACAATATTGCGTCTTTAAACACGACCTATTTACACAACAAATGTTTCATCTAATTTCTTATCCCCTGATGCCTAAAGCATGCTTTGGTATCTGGTAGGTGCTTAATAAACGTTTACCATCCCATTGAATTTAGAAATAAATAAATAAATCAAGGCAAAAGCTAGGAGTTAAGTATGGGGCGTTTCGGTCGTCAGTCACCACAGAGCAAACCCCAGTCTCTGTGCTCTGCTCACCGGGCTCTGCTCACCGGCGGGTCAGTGAGTCTGCTTGTACATCTGCCGGCTGGTTCCACATAAGGAGCCGCTGGTGTCAGCCCCGCACCACCCCATCTTTATTGGAAGACAGGGCCTCCCTAAGGGGCCCAGGCTGGGCTCGAACTCCAGATGTCCCTGCTTCTACCTCCTAAGTATTGGGATTCCAAGTGAGTGTCAGAAGCCCGGGTCTGGGGCTGATCTAAAGATGGGTAGCAAATGACCACATCATACACACAATGGGCGATTGTTATTGTGCCATGCTTCCTGCCAAAGTCATCGTGGCAAAACTTGACTCCAAAGAAGCCAGGAAACAAATCCCCTCATCACTCGTGGAAGATGCCACAGGCGTCCGTGGCGTGGAGAGAGTGAGGATATGCCCATTAGCGCACGTGGACATCTCTCTCTCTCTCTCTCTCTCTCTGGTTTTATGAGACAGGGTTTCTCTGTATTGTTTTGGAGGCTGTTGGTCCAGCCCGGCCTCGAACTCACAGAGATCCGCCTGCCTCTGCCTCCTGAGTGCTGGGATTAAAGGCGTGAGCCACCACTGCCCAGCACGTAGATATCTCTTGAGTGACCCTGTGATAGTACTGCCATCTCCCGAGAGAGGGAAGACGGGAGCGGGGGCCGGCAGCAGGGGCAGGATGCCAAATATGAGAAGGTGAAGCTAGCTGAACCTAAAGCAGGCTGCAGGGGGCTGGGGAGAAGGCCCTGTGTGCCCAAGTGCTTGCTGCTGGAGGCTGATGACCTGAGCTGGGAGTCCCAGAGTACACAGAGCAGCACAACAACAGACAAGAGACCCTGTCTCAAAACAAGGTTGGAAGGCAAGAACAGACTTCCAAGAATCGACCTCACGCACGCCTGTGCACGCACACACACACACACACACACACACACACACACACACACACACACACGAGCAGACTGGGATGGCTAGAAAGTCCCGGGGGGCGGGGTCTTCAGAAGCATCAGGTAAAGCTGGATCCACACACTCTAAGAATCTGGCAGGGATCCGGTGCAGTGTTTTGTCCTCGGCTCCGCTTCTCTCTGTTGGCTTTGTTTCCAAACAGATTTCCTTCATGTGCTGTCAAGATGTCAGCCCCAGAACCAGCATTCACAGCTAGAGACAGGACTTCTTTCTGTCGACATCCAGACATCTGCCATTGACCTAAGGGACGGTAAGTGTCCGTTAGTTTACTGTCCGTCGGTGGGCTATCCGCAATGGCCTAGATTGCTAAGGGCCTTTGGTAACTCGCTGGGCCAGGTGCCCATCTCTTGGACGGGCAGTGAGCACTGTGCTTAAAATAGGGGAAAAATGGAGTCACAAGACAGGTAGGAGGAAGAGAATCAGGGGGTAAGAAGGCAGAAAATAACCCTGCAACTGCCACCCCAGGGTAGGGGAGCTACGAGGGGAGGTGGATTTAAATGTTCATTAGCCACATTCAAACAGATACAGGAGTTTAGCAATTGTATAACTTATTGCTAGAACACTCGCCTGGCTTATTCGGGTTCCTGAGAATACACACTTCCCTCGTGTGTTTGAGTCTCTGTGTGTGTGTGAAACCATGTGTGTGCATTCCTTGTAACAGATGGTATCAGAGACCCTCAGGTGAATGAGATTACCTATTACAGCACAGAGAAAAGACAGTATATTATCCTATGAAGTGAATACATTCTACGTAACTAATGCATCTGCTGAGAATATTTTGCAGTTTTCTGGCCTCTCAGCAGGAAATGGATGTCTTCAAAACAAATGCCGTTTAGCATTTGCTCTGTTCTGGGTGCCTTGAATGCGCCACGAGTTGAATCCTCGGGACGATTCTATTAGGTTGCTACTCCTGGTGCCTCCATTTTAATAAGCAAAGAGATGGATTCGGTTAAGAAACCTGGTCAAGGTCACCCAGGTGGAAGTTAGGCAGCCATGTTTCAAACCAAGACATCTGGCTTCAGAGCTCTCTTGATTAACATTCCATACAAAGGCTTTCCTGGGGACATGAATCCTTTGTCTCCTTCCTCCTTCTCTTCAATCCCGTTACACTCCCAGATTTCCACCTGAAGTTCTGGATTGGAAGTGAGGTGCGCGTGTGGTTTGACTCCTGCAAGATGGCGTCTCTGAGGATGTAAACTGAGAAAGCCGAACCACGGGAGTTGGTGGAGTTCACTGGGGGAGTGTTTGCTAGGGGGAGACAGCAGATGCTGCCCCAGCCAGGAAGAGACAGTGCTCTCTCCAAGCCCTGATGCTGCCGAAAGCCTCTTTGTTTTATGACTCTGGGTGCAAGCAGCCCTTTTAATTTTGTGTTTTGGATTCCAGCCATAGCAAGTCTTCTTTAGAGTAGCAGATGGCGGGAGACGGGCAAGCCAGGTGCTCACATTCGACACGAAGCCGCCTTCCCCAGAGAGGAGAGTCCTAATGATGCTGCCGTGAAAGAGGAGGGGGCTGTAACAACGCAGGTGCACTAGCTGTTTACCTCGAGTAAAGCAGCCGCTGTCTTAAGTGTCTGTAAGTATTCGGAAGTCAGGAAGCGTTTCGGGAGTCTGGTGAAAGCTATGGACTTTTTCGTCAGAAAATTTGTATATAGGTATACACAAAAAATGTACTTGATGATTGCAGGGGCCTGTGGATTCTCTGTTGTCATTCCTGAAGCTTCAAAGAGTCTGCGGTTAGTGGCTTCCTGGGCATTGAGTGGACACAGCTGTCGGTCTCTCTCCTCCTCCTCCTCCTCCTCCTCCTCCTCCTCCTCCTCCTCCTCCTCCTCCTCCTCCTCCTCCTTCTCCTCCTCCTCCCTCCTCTCTCCTCTCTCCTCCTCCCCCTCCTCCTCCTCCTCCCTCCTCTCCCTCCTCCTCCTCCTCCTCCTCTTCCTCTTCTTACTGTGTTATGATTTCAGCTTTCAAGTCATGAAAAGAGATTTATCTCTGGGTTCTTTTTTTGATTTTTGAAACAGGGGCATACTATACAGTCCAGGCTGGCCTTGAACTCACAATCCCCCCATCTTAGCCTATCCAGTGCTAGGTGTCCAGATGTGTGCTGCCACACCTGACTTTACTGACTAGCGTGGAAGCCTTCCACACCAGAACACTAGAATTGTACTGGAAAATGCTTTCAATCATCCTATAAAAATCACTTTAGTGCACTCTCCTGTTGGTGTGACCCTTTGGTTTATTCTCTGTCTTTTTTTTAAGGTTTATTTTTATATTTAATTATGTGTGCATATTTGCACATCTGTTGTGGGTTTGTGCATGTAAGTGCAATTGCCCACAGAGGCCAGAAGAGGGCACTGGTTCCCCCTGGAGTGGCAGTTAAAAGTGGCCGTGAACCACCCCACTGGGTTCTGGCATCTCACTCAGGTCATCTGGAAGAGCAGTTTGTGCTTCTAACTGCTGGGCCACCTCTCCAGCCCTGCTTTATTCTCTTAAAAGAGAGACATGAGGCTTCTCTTGACCATTTCTGCTACGTCTCGCTGTGCTCCCTGCTCTGGCCTGGGGAGTGTCTTCCCTTGTCACTTCTTTGACACTCACTGGCTTTGGGACTCTGCTTGGTTCAGCTGCGCTTCCTGCAGCTATCAGTAATAAGGATAGAGTAATGAGGGGGCGGCCTGCCGGTGGAGGAACATGCAGAGAACTCTGAGTTTGAAATGGAGGTTTTATTCTATTTTTAACGACCCTGTCTGGAGAATTCGTATAAACTCGGACATTTCTCCCTCCAGTGCCCACTTTCCGTAGCTGTCTGAGCAAGGGAGATGTCTCTGGGGCTATGAAGATACGGATGCCTGTGATGACGTCACTCACGGATGCCTCTGTTGGGTGACGCCTCCGAACACTAAACTTCTTCTAGTTCCACTTGGTGTGTGGCTGTTATTAGTGGCACTCTTCCGAGTCACAGCAAAATTGGGGACTTGAAGTATTTATTAGTGATTTTCAACCAAAACCCATCTGGCCTTAATTGTTTTATATTTTAAAATAAAACTTAAGAAAATATGATCCATGTGTTTCACCAATTTTCCTGAAAATTGCTTACTTCTTGGGTCTGGAAAAATTGAAGGTAAGAGTAGGACTTTGATAAATATTTTAGGCTAATTCCATTTATCAATTGCTAATTTCTTCAGTTATTGAAAAGAATTGGAATTTATGTCCGATTTCTTCCTAAAATGAACTTAATCAAACACAAACCATTTGGGGGTTGAGGTTTCTTGCCTCCACACTTTAACACCGAGGCTGGATAGCTCTCAGTAGAAGGAGGGCAGTCTAGACATTTAGGGTGCTTTTATCATCTCTGGCTTCTACCTACTGTGTTCCCATGGCCGTTCTATCTGGAGCAACAGAGAAAGTCTTCAAACCGCTAAGTGTTTCTTAGGGGGACAGTCATCCCTGGTTGACTACTGCAGGCCTTGATTCTGAAATAGATTTCTCTCCAGGGAAGAGAAATCAAGGCCTGAATCGAGTGTCAGGTGATCTTGATCAGGTGAGCCTCTGAACTCGGCAGTTTTTCAAACACCTTGATGTCTCACTGTGTCTATCTGTCTGCAAAGATCACCCTGTCCTCCATTTGCTCTTAGATCCCGTCAATTACCCGAAGCAAGACTTCCTTATGCCTCTGGCAGGCCTGACATCTTGATGACTGGCTAGCTAGTGAGCCAGTTATAGGTTCTTCTCAGAGTTGTAAATCCATGCCAGAGTCCAGAATCCATGCCTTCTAAGGGCTGGAAACGTTAGAGACAACGGCACCAAAAATCAGTAAGCATAACAGATAGTCAAGGCGCATGGAGTCCTCATCCACAAAGTTTATGATGTAGGAGGAGTTTAAGATGGAGACCCAAGATTGCAAACTGATGGCTAGCAGGCGAAATTGGGACCATGGGTTTGCTTCATCTGGCTTGTGCCAGCGTGAGTCTTCTCAACGTCCAAGAGAAGGGGGAGGGGAACCCAGGAGAGGGACAAAGAGGTTGATTGGCTAAATGTGCGATTTCCCTTTTATATAAAAAGATTAACTTCCAGCATTTTTTGTAAAGCCAGAAGATCTGCCAATACTGGGCCCTTACTCCCACACCTATTCCTGCCGATGGCTGGCTACAATCAACAACAGCTCCCCTCCTCGGTGTAGACCTGGATCGAGGCTCTTTGTCTTACCAGCTCCCACCCAACTCCCTTCTAGATCTATTTGAGACAGCTGGATTTATTGAATCTCTTCCGCATGGAAGCAAGCCGCCTCATTTATGTATCAAGAGAGGTGACAGTAATGGTGACGTTACACTGTCAGATTTACGGTATACAGAATTTTGAATCTACTGGTATTGGAGGATGGGATTGCTAGAAAAAAGTAAAAAAAAAAGAGTTCCAATTTATTTGGCAGGAAAACGGTGCAATCAATTTTGAGCGCTTAAAAAAATAAACACCGAATTATTTAAAAACTCTCCCTTGCTGTTCAAATCGGGTGCCCTAGCACGGATGCCACATTTCTGGGAATGCTGACCCTTTGGGGAATTAGGAGGGGAAGAGAAGCCAGACAGCCGGATTACTCCGGCGCTAGCCAGTGGACAGTCCGTGCACCTCCACCCCTCCACTTTTTGAAGCTTGAGCGCCCATGACACCCCCTGCTCTGAGACAGGGGCATTCCTCATGAGCTCCGGGCCAGCACTGTCTGCATCTGCAAAGGCTGCAGCCAGCCAGCTGCAGGAAACTTAGGGCTTGCATTACAAGTGAACGGAAGAGGCGAGGTTGCAGCAGAAGACGCGTTGCGACGCTTCGCATAGGCTAGAAGGACCCCCGGCTGTCCGCAGCGAGGACGACCGTCTTGCTACGAGGCGGGCTGGCGCCCTCGGCACGGCGCCTGCATCCCAGCGCCACGCTCAGGGCCCGCCGAGGGCAGGGGGAAGCCAGGCCGCGGCCACTCCCGCCGCGCATGCGCCGCCCGCCGCGGCCCTCCACCTCTGCCCCCCCCCCCCCCGCGTCATCCGGGTCCCGGGCGAGCGGGCGCCGCGCGCTGGTCCCGCGGCCGAGCTGCTAATAAAGTTGCGGCGCGTGCACAGCGCGGCGACGGCGCGAGGAGAGCGCGCCCGGACGGCGGGGAGGTGAGTGAGGGGTCCCGGGGCGGGCGGAGGAGCACGCGCGGCGGAAGCGGCCCCGCGGTCGGGCGGGCGGGCGGAGGCCTAGCGGGTCCCCCGCGCGGGCGGGACGGACGGGGGGCCGGGGCGCCGCGCGGCGGGGGAGGCCTGGCCGCCGAGGAGGCCCCCGCTCCCTCCACGGCCCCGGCGGGCGGCGCAGACGGCCTAGGCCGAGCCCGCGCCCCGTCGCTTTGTATGCGCGAGATAAGGATCCGCGCTTATCGGTGGGAATTAGACTCCGGCCCGCCGCGACCCGCCCCTGCACCCGGCTGCCGCCCGCCCGCCCGCCCGGCACTCTGGGACGTCGCGCAGAGGTTCTCGCGCCTCGCCAAACTTCGTGTGGGGGAACTGAAGCCGCTTTTGTCTTGCGCCGGCCCCGGTGGTTGGCTCCCTTGGGCATGCGTGCCCGAGTAAGTGCACCCTCCACCCCCCTCCCCCTGCCCTGGCTCCTTGGCTGCGCCCGCCGGGCTTGGGAGTGCGAGCCTCGAAAAGTCCCCGGTGTGGTCAGAGCATGCTCAGTAGCCGGGGCGTTTCTGGTGGCCGGGAGAGCTGGCGAGGGGAGTCGAGGTGTTTGGAGGTGTGCCAGCTCTCCGGAGCGTGTGTCCGGACTCCGGCTTGGATGGCACCGGCCGGAGGAGCCCAGGCCAACCTGGGAGCCAGGCCTGGCCGAAGGCTCTGGTCCAGATCTTTATCTTGATTGTAAAGACAGTGTTTCCTGAGCAGCTGGAGGTGGGGGCGTGTTCCTGGCCGCCTTTGCCTTCAGATGGGTGTGGCGCTAAGTCTATCTTGTTTATCTTTCTGTGGAAAAAAGTTTTGAAGTCTGGTGGAGTTTGTCACATCATGCCTGTTGCCTAGCGCTGTCAAGTGTGTGCCTACCTAGCAACAGAGACTGGGATCCGTGGACTTTTTTTTTTTTTTTTTTTTTTTTGGTTGGCTTCACAGAAGCTAAGAGAAAAGAGATACACGTGATTTTTTTTTTCTCTCTGACAGGGGTTTTCAGTGCAGACCTTGAACTCCGGCCAATCCTCCTGCCTCAGCCTTCCAAGTGCTGGGATTACGGTGGCGAGCCATCACCAGTCTGTGTTTTTCTTTTTCTTTCTTTCTTTTTTTTTTTTAACAAAGAGTGCTTGGATATTCTTAGGAAATGAGAGTTGCCGTTCGTGAGCTAGCTTTTAATTTTAATTTGAAGTTGAAGACCCAGTAGGTTTAGTAACACAGAGTAGTTTAATGTTTCTGCAAAATGACAGCCCATAGTGCCTGTTGTATGGAAACAGTTCCCACATGAAGCAAGACAGGACTCACACTCAACTGCTTTGTCATGAGATTTATGTTTCAGATTTTGTATAAAGTTCCCATTTGGTACCATTTCTCCCCCCAAAAAAGTGAACCCTGACATTATAAAAATCCAACATAACTCAGAAGAAACAAAAACTAACCTTTATAAAGTTTGTATCTTCTGCTCAGAAAATTGTTTTTGTAGCCAGCGCTGCTGGCCCACACCTTTAATCCATCCGGGTACTCTGGAGGCCGAGGCTGGTAGATCTGAGTGAGTTCCCCGCCAGCCAGGGCTACATAGAGAGGCCTTGTGTGGAAAGATGTTTCATTTCGGTCTGATTGCTAACCTGTGGTCTCCATGGCTCCTCTCCTTCCCTCTGCTGATGCCCAGCTCGTCTTCTCTGTTACCACTTACGCTTCTGCTGTGTCTTTGTCGCAAATGCCATTCATTCATTTTGTCACTTTTTTTGTTTCATAGAGGAATCTTCTCAGCTGACTTCCCGCCTTCCTCCCCCAGACCAGGTAGCCTAGGTTGGCCTCAACCTTGCTATGTAGTCCTACCTCTCTACCTCCCAAACGCTAGGGTCACAGGCCTGTGCCACCACACCTGGTTGTTCGTTTTTGGTTGGTTGGCATGCACTTTTAGCTGTCTGGGTTTGCACACCCTACCACGCCAAACACTCAGTTTTAAGTTTTCCATGCATCTGTGGGATATGGTGTAGCCGAAAGAAGGAAGAACGCAATGAACTTGGGGCGGAGTAAAATGCTTTTGTACATTCTCTACAGATCTGTGCTTACCCGTTCACAGATGGGTACATGGATGGGTTGCCTTTCTTTTCCCTCTGGCAAAGTCGGCCTTGAGTTGCAGTGTGAGACAGAGGCAGAATGTTGCTAATGAGGTTTGAATCAGATTGTTGTGTGCTGTTGGTTATGTAACATGTTGTGAGAGTGTTATTAAAAGTTGCCTTCTGTAGCAAGGAAGAGAGGCAAGTAAATTCTGCTTACTCTCTTCTTTGGCTTTAATTCCTGGCTGAACCTGAAGGCATGCACATTAGGCTACAGCTGTAATTATACCTGGGCAGCCTGTTTCCTGTTTTCATGATGGACCCAAACAACATGATTTGCAGTGATGAACTCTTGTTCTTTGTGTTAAACAGAGGCAGCATGCTCTCCCTACTGAAACAGATTGGCAGCTCAGTTGAACAGATTCCATTTTAGTGTTTTGAGGATAAGGCGGTAAAATTATAGTGTTTTACTTCTTTGTAACTTTGTATCAAAATTTAATATAAAATCACTGTTATATACATATTCTTTGTTTCTTGTGTAAGTTTTAATTTGCCAGTACTTTCGTGGTGTGAATCAAGAAAACTCTTTGTTGTTGTTTATAACTTACCAGTGTTTATTTTTTTCACAATCACTCAGAGATTTACACATAGTCAATTTTTTTTGTTTTTTAAATTTAAATTTAAATCAGAAATAAGGTTGTTTCACATGTCAATCCCAGGTCCCTCTTCCTTTCCCTCTCCTCCTCCCGTGCCCTCCCACCAACCCCCCCCTACCCCTCCTTTCCCCAGGGAGGGTGAGGCCCTCCATGGGGGTGTCCATAGTCTGTCATTTCATCCAGGACAGGGCCTAGACCTTCCCCCAAGAGTCCAGGGTGAGAGTGCATCTCTCATTGTGTGATGGGCACCCAGAGTCAATTTGTATGCCAGGGATAAATACTGATCTACTACCCAAGGCTCAATAGATTACCTAGGCCTTCTCACTGATGCCCACATTCAGGGGGGTCTTGTTCAGTCCCATGCTGAATTCCCAGCCATCAGTCTGGGATTCAAGAGCTAACCCTTGTTCAGGTCAGCTGTTTCTGGGGGTTAAACAAGCCCAGTCTTAACCCCTTTGCTTATCAGTCCTCCCTCTCTGTCACTGGGTTCCTTGAGTTCAGCTCAGTGTTTAGCGGTGGGAGTCTGCCTCTGCTTCCATCAGTCATTGGATGAAGGTTCTGTTCCCCAGACTCTCTGCTTACCAGTGTTTATTATTATCGGATGTATATGTTGGTTTGGGCAGTGAGACCCACGTTAGGGCTCATTTCAGAGCCTTCATTCCCCCACTTTATCGTCTCCACATTACATTTGTTTCTGGTCTATGTTCTTACCTGTTTGTTAGTGCTTTGTATTAAGAATGTGGTGTTTCTTCAGGTGTTGTAGGCACACCTTCAAGAGGTCAGGCATTCTCCTTCCAGAAATGGACAGTAGTCGCCTGAGGGATGATTCTTATCTTCACTAGGTGTCTTGCTGGAGGAGAGCTGGGAAAGTAGATCCAAGGAAGCTGTGCTGCACAGACAGATTCAAGGTCCTTTCTCACCAGAAAAGATGGCGATGGAAGGTGACCTATGCCTGTCCACACCTGGTCTTTCCACTTCTGCACTTAGTAGAACTATTAGCACTTGGAATTGTCAGGACTGGGTCATCTAGCTTATTGCCACTACCATGCATCTTACCTCCAGCCGAAACTTGAATGTGGTGTGTGTGTGTGTTTGCTAAATGAGACATCAACCTTCAGGAGTCTTTCAGAAGAGTTGTTAAAAACTAGCTTGTTGTTAGATTTCTCTCATTTTTCAATCATTTATTTTATTGATTTTTTTTTGAGGCAGGATCTCACAGAACTACAGTTTTGTCCAAGAATCACTCTGTAGACCAGGCTGACCTTGAACTCACAGAGATCCACTGCCTCTGAGATTAAAGGTGTGCACCACTGACTGATTTCCAAATCTCATAGGTCACATATTTTAAGTCTGTATTGTTTCATAACTTGGGAAGATGTAATTATACAACAGTAAGAGTTTTCTTAATTAATCAGCTAGTTCTGGGCACCGTGCGCAGCTTTGACAGGTGTGTGAATTTACCCACACGCGCACACACTGTGGAGGTTGGGCTCTTTTACCAAAGCTGTATTTTCAGTAGCTCTTCTCGCTGCCTTTATTTATTGTGTCTTAAGTTTGTTGAGATTATTAGTTTGTTTTGTTTTTTTTTTTTTTTGAAGAAAAAAATCCTTATTAGGACAATTCTCTTACATGATCCTGTATTTTTCCTTCACTAGTTATTATTTTTACTGTCCATTTTGTAAGTAGGGTTTGTTCTGAATCCTTTGTGACCACCGTCTTTGCCTGTATGATATGTGTATTTTCTAGCTTGGCGTTCTCTAGTGAGGTTCTTAACTGGAGCTTTTCCATCTGATTTCTTATTCCCGTGACACTGAAAGTAATGAAAACGGTGACAGCTACAAGCATCCAGTGTCCTTTCCACCGTCTCAGAACATGCTTCAGGAGGCTGACACTTGGCAGTTTAACCTTGCTCTCTGAATGTGAGTGTTCATAGGGTTTTTGTTCTTCCTGAAGTACTGGGGTCTGCCCTTTTTCCTAAGTGGTGAGCTGCGTAGCTTGAGGTCTGGTGACCCTGGTTTGTGTCCCTGGGAAGAAGGGTCACTGCAGAAACACTTCAAAGCCGTCTCCCATGTTTGCATCTTCTTGTTCTCTTAGGGGAGAGTCTAGTTAGCTTATTGACTGTTTCCACTCTTCAGAGTTGAGTACACAGGAAATGATGGCCAGAACTGTTGTTGGTTTGTTGTTTGTTGTTTTCTTCTTTCCTACTAAGTGGGATGCTTGTGCTCTCAGGCACCCGTGAGGTCTGGAGGAC